AAAACACGACTGTCGGCATGCTTCGCAAGAGTTGCTGTTTTGAGATGGGCTGGTGGGGATACGCGAAGCGTGAAGAATTTCTGTTCGCAGTGAGCTGTCCACTCCACTGCTCGCGCAAACATCCCACCCACCCACCCGCACCTTGGTTTGCAAAATCCCTTAAGACCGTGACGGTGGGTACCAAATGGCCCTTGACAACGACAGCGACGCCGACGACGACAGCGACAACGGCGACGACAACGCCGACAACGACTACGACGACACCGACGGGTCCGTAGCCATTTTGGCTCAAGCCAGCTTGGTTCAAGCGTGCTTGGGCAGGCGATGGCGCGGGAGGTTCTGCGGGGCGCGGCTGGTGCCCGTGCCTCGGCAGACCGTCTGGTGCAGAAGTTGGTCAAGCAGCACGCGGAGGCCCGCGAGGATGCCGACTCCCTGAGGCGCACCCTTCGGCGGCTCCTGGGCGGCTTCGAGGATCTCATCGGGGACGCGGAGCTGGCGGACCGCGTGGTGGCGCTGATTCCTGCCTTGCGCGCACTCCTGAAGGGCGAGACGCCCTCGCCCGAGGACGTGCTCAGGCGCAACGTCGCGCTGCACGCCGACGCCGAGGGCGAGAGCGTGGCAGAGGCGCGGCCCGCGCGCCTTCGGCAGATGCAGAGGAGTGCGCGTCTCGAAGCTCGTCTGCAGGGCGTCGGTGGCGCGGAGGTGCTCGGGCAGAAGCTGTGCGCCGTGGCGGGCAAGCCGGCCGTGCTTCGCGAGCAGGCTGCCCCGTTCTAGCCGCGGCACCCCCCGGGAGTCTGGGAGCAGCTGGACGGCGCCGGCTGGGAGAGCAGGACTGCGAGCGGTGCTGCACGCGCGGAGGCGCGGCCGCCGCGGGCGCGGGACGCCTTCCTCACGGTCCAGCGCGTTGGGCCTTGGGAGCCGCTGCCCCCCGTGTGCATCCGCTGCACGTGTGGCGCCGTGGTCTTCGCCTCGGCTGGTCTTCACGCGCGTGCTGACGCTGCGGCTGGTGCTGGAGAGCCTCTGCCGACAGGCTCCGCGGGCTCGGGTGGTGGTCACGTTGAGGCCGTCTCCAACCCCGTGGGCAGTGCGGCCGACTCGGCTGAGTTCGACTACCAGGAGGTGGGTGCTGCCGACGCTGAAGTGGATACGGCCTGCTCGGTGTCGGAGGCGGCGCCACAGGCCAGCACTGCGGTTCTGGCGTACCTGCACGCTCATCCTGCGGCGCTCCTCTCGGGAGGCGGCGGGGCCCTCGCGGCTCCTGTGGCTGGCGGTACTGGTCCTGGCGCTGGTTTCGAGGGCAGCCGCGTCCGCAGGGAGCGAGGTGCAAGCACGGGGCGGCGCGCCCGCCGCGTCCGCTTCGACCTGCGTCCCGTCGTCATCGGCACGGCCTTCGAGGAGGAGTCGGAGGAGGCCCCCCCGCGCGGAGGCGGGGCTGGCGGCGTGGACGAGCCCGTCCGCGGTCTCTGGGCCTTTTTGGACGACCTCTCGGTAGCTTCGATCGCCTGTGCTGCTCACGGGCCCTCGCTCGCGCTCGAGAGGCTCCTCGTCCTTGCCGAGGCCCAGGTGCAGGACAATTAGCCTTGCGTGCGGACGCTAATTCCGTTTGCTCCGTGCATTCGCATTTCTTGTATTTGAATGTGTACGTGAGCTTGCAATCGCGGCGCTTCGCGCCTGGCACCCGTGGGGCCCAGGGTTTTTCGGGGCTCTTCCCCTGCTCCTGGGGCTCACTGGAGGTGCGGAGGTGGCCCGAGGCGGCCCCTCCTCTGGTGGAGGGTGGCCCGAAGCGGCCCCTCCTGGAGCTGCCCAGCCTTTATGGCCCCGCAAAGACAAAGACAAAGACGACACCGACGGCGTCTCCTACGACTTCGACGACACCGACAACGACGACGACGACGACGACGACGACGACACCGACGACGCCGACGCCGACGACGACGACGACGACGACGACCACACCGACGACGACGACGACGCCGACGACGACGACGACGACGATGACAAGGACGACGACGATGACGACGCCGACGACGACGACAACGACGACACCAACGACGACGACGACGACGACGTCAACGACGCCGACGACGACGACGACGACCGCGGCGACGACGACGACGCCGACGTCGACGACGACGAAGACGACGACGACGCCGATGACGACGACGACGACGAAGACGACGCCGACGTCGCCAACGAAGACGACGACGAGGGAGGAGGGAGGACGACGACGGCGACAACGACGACAACGACGACAACGACGAGGGAGGAGGGAGGACGGCGACGACGCGAACGACGAGAAGGAGGAAGGTCGGCGACGCCGACGACGACAACGACGAGGGAGGAGGGAAGACGACGACGACAACGACGACGACGACGGCGACGAAATAGGAGGGACGACGACGAGACGCCGACGACGGACGACGACGACGACGAGGGAGGAGGAAGGACGACCACGGCGACAACGACGACGGGAACGACCACGACGCCAAAGAGGACGACGACGACGAACACGAGGAAAGACAGAGGACGACGTAGACGACGACGACGACGCGGAAGGAGGGAGGACGGCGACGACGACGACGACGACGACGACGCAAGAGCGCGCGCGCACGCTTTTGTTGAAAATACGTGTTGCGAAACCTTGTGTTTTTGTAGGTTTGTTGGACACACGATTTTGAGATCCTTCCGAAACCGATGGGTTTTGAAGGATTTAGGCGTACGCGCACGACGACGCGCGCGTCTGCACTTCGTCCCATTTTTTGCAGAGGATTCTCGCGACGGCACACGCGCAAGGGCGCTCGACAGATTTCGACAAGGGCGCGCGCGAAGCCCGTTTGGTAGCATTTTGCGAAAATCTTGAAAAACCTATGGTTTTCTTAAGGTTTCGCAAGAGCTCGCGCGTAAGCTTTTTTAGCAAATCAGTGTTGCGAAACCCTGTGTTTTTGTATGTGTTTTGGAACTCGATTGCGAAATCCTTCCGACACCGAAGGCTTTTGAAGGATTTCGGCATGCGCGCGCGACGACGCGCGCGTGTGCATTTCGTCCCATGTTTTGCAGGGGATTCGTGAAAAAGTCTTATGTTAGAGCAGAAGATGTCCCCGCGTATTGTTTTTACAAAAGAACCTCAGGGGGAGCGATACCGGCCCCCCGGGGATAGTGTAAATTCAGGTTTAGGATGGACATGTGGTCAGAATCAGACATGATTTACATACCCGAAAGGGGGACCGATAACGCTGGGGGGGGGTAGAGTCTAGAAAGAAGAGTAGATGTGGTGCAATCAATCACTTGCTCAACTTGAAGCTGTCTTCTCCAATGCTCGTGCAAACATCCCATCCTCCCACCCGCAACTTGGTCGCAAGACCTCTTAAGACCGTGACGGTGGGTACCAAATGGCACTTGGCAACGACACCGACGCCGACGACGGCCGCGACAACGACGACGACGCCGCCGCCACAACAACTACGACGACACCGACGGCGTCTCCAACGACGACGACGACGACGCCGCCTACGACGACGACGACGACAACGACGACGACGACGACGCCGCCGACGCCGACGACGACACCGACGACGACGACGACGACGACGACGCTGACGCCGACGACGCCGACGACGACGCCAATGACGACGACGGCGCCGACGACGACGACGCCGACGACGACGACGACGACGACGCCGACGACGACGACGACGACGACGCAAACGACGACGACGACGCCGACGACGCCGCCGACGACGACGACGACGCCGACGACGACGACGGCGACGAAGACGACGACGGCGACGAGGGAGGAGGGAAGACGACGACGGCGACAACGACAACGACGACGAGCGGGGAGGGGGAACGGCGACGACGCGAACGACGAAGAAGGAGGGAGGACGGCGACGCCGACGACGACGACGACGAGGGAGTGAAGACGACGACGACGACGACGACAGCGACGAAATAGGAGGGACGACGACGAGACGCTGACGACGGAAGACGACGACGAGGGAGGAGTAAGGACGACCACGGCGACGACGACGACGAAAGCGACGACGACGCCAAAGAGGACAACGACGACGACGACGACGACGACGACGACTAGGAAAGACAGAGGACGACGACGGCGACGACAACGACGACGAGGGAGGAGAGACGGCGGCGACGACGACGCAAGAGCGCGTCAACACGTTTTTGTTGAAAAACCGTGTTGCGAAACCCTGTGTTTTTGTATGTTGCTTGGAAACTCAATTTTGAAATCCTTTTGAGACCGAAGTCTTTCAAGGATTTCAGCATGCGCCTGCGACGACGCGCGCGCGCGCGTGCAGTTCGTCCCATTTGTTGCACAGGATTCTCGCGACCGCACGCGCGCAAGGGCGTTCGAACGATTTCGACATGCGCGCGCGAAGCCCGTTTGGTAGAACTTTTTGGGAGGAAATCTTGAAAAACCGATGGTTTCCTGAAGATTTCGAAAGAGCGCGCGCGCGTAAGCTTTTTGGGGAAATCAATGTTGCGAAACCCTGTGTCGACGCGCGCGTGTGCACTTCGTCCCATTTGTTGCAAAGAAGTCTTGAAAACTGATAAACGAATGTGCGCGCATACTATTTCTTGCAGAAGATGGCGGGGGGGCCGATACCGGTTTGGCTGGGATAATATGAATTCACAGGTGGGATGGACATTGGGTCAGAATCCTATGTGTTGTGCATCGGTTCCCGGGGGGTCTTTAACCCGGGGGGGGAGGGTGGTAGAACCGATCTTCCACTCTTTAGAAAAGAAAAAATTATGTTGTGCACTCTATCTGGTGAAAGCTATGCTGTGCAGCTCATGTAGTTCATCGATGTGCTGCAATATCTGCTGTGCTAACATAAAACGGCCCCACGGTGTTGTTCCGCAGCTACCACTCAGCGAAGCGCTGCGTGCGTGTCCACTTCACGCTGTCAAAAAATGACCCAGCCGGGGCCCAGACGCGATCGCTAGAGGGGTCCCCTACCGCGCCACCTCGCTGCATAGGCCGATCAGCCAGACTCAGGGCTGCGGCGGAAGTAGCCCGCCTCGCCCGGGGCGTCCACCGTCCTGCCAAGGGTGCCGTAGCCCTCGATGATGGGGGAGCTCGGTGAGCACAGATGGGAGTCGAGTTCTTGTCCTCTGGGAGCCACCGCCGCGCGGATTTGCAAGTTCACCCCACGCAGGTGGGAGAAAACAGCGGGTGGCTCCTCAGAGGCCCGAGCTACTCGACACTTCGTCCTTATGGTGCCCACCGTGCCCCCCCTGTCTGGCCTTGACGTCCTCGTCCTTGAACGGCTGGACCATGAGCCACTGGGTGAACCCGGGGATGGCGATCAGCCACGGCAGGGCGATGACGAGCAGCTCCGGAGCCCCGAAGCCTTCGTAGGTGAGCTCGATCGCCTGCGCGGGCAGCGGCGCGGTGGCCACCACGCCGGCCCCCGCCAGTGCCGCCGCCGCGTGGACGTCGGCCTGCGCGCGGGGCGGCGCGACGAACGCGCGGGCGGTCAGCTGCCGCAGCGCGAGCGCCGCCAGAGCGAGGACGGCGAGCCGGCCGGCCGCGGAGGATCTCCGCGCCGCCATGGCCGCGCGGCAGCGGCGCTGCCCCTGTCCGGAGAAAAGGGAAGGCCGCTCGGGGCCTCGGGCCGAGACGGAGGCGCGAGAGGACCAGGGGCGGGGATGGGAAGCGAGAGGAGCGCGAGGGGAGCGGTAGAGGGAGGGGAGGGTGGGAGGGCTAGGGGGAGGGGAGAGGGAGGAGGCAGCGAGATTGACGCAGCACGTCGCAAGGGGTCGCCCTGACGCACTTCTCTGCCTCAAGACTGGCACATGAGCCCCCTGAGGCCACACAGCTTAGCTAAACAAGCGTCCACAGACTCTTCCAGGCCCTCCCTCCAGAGGCCTGAAGAGAGCGCAAGAGGAGCCTTACCACCCACAAGAAAGCCCTGAGAAGCCTCCCTGTGACCCCCAGGCACCCCTCGGAAGCAAAAAGACCGTGAAGCATGTGTGGACTCTAAACAGTGTGTTTCTAGCAGTTTGTGTTGCCCAGTCTATGTGCAGCAATATATGGAGTGCAACCTAGGTGGTGCAATGTATGTTATGCAATCTACGTGGTGCAATATATGCTGTGCAACTAATGTAGTGTAATCTATGTACTGCAAGATATGCTGTGCTAACATGGAACAGCCCAAACGGTGTAATTCCGCAACTAACACTCAGCGAAGCGCTGCGTGCGTGTCCTCTTCACGCTGTCAAAAAACAACAACCCAGCCGGGGCCCCGACGCGAGGTCCCCTACCGCGCCACCTCGCTGCCTAGGCCGATCAGCCAGACTCAGGGCTGCGGCGGAAGTAGCCCGCCTCGCCCGGGGCGTCCACCGTCCTGCCAAGGGTGCCGTAGCCCTCGATGGATGGGGGAGCTCGGTGAGCACAGATGGAGTCTGGCTCATGCCCTCTGAGAGCCACCGCCGCGCGGATTTACAAGTTCACCCCACGCAGGTGGGAGAAAACAGCGGGTGGCTCCCTCTGAGGCCCGAGCTACTCGACGCTTTCGTCCTTCTGGTGCCCACCGTGCCCCCCCCGGTCCGGCCTTGACGTCCTCATCCTTGAACGGCTGGACCATGAGCCACTGGGTGAACCCGGGGATGGCGATCAGCCACGGCAGGGCGATGACGAGCAGCTCCGGGGCCCCGAAGCCTTCGTAGGTGAGCTCGATCGCCTGCGCGGGCAGCGGCGCGGTGGCCACCACGCCGGCCCCCGCCAGTGCCGCCGCCGCGTGGACGTCGGCCTGCGCGCGGGGCGGCGCGACGAACGCGCGGGCGGTCAGCTGCCGCAGCGCGAGCGCCGCCAGAGCGAGGACGGCGAGCCGGCCGGCCGCGGAGGATCTCCGCGCCGCCATGGCCGCGCGGCAGCGGCGCTGCCCCAGTCCGGAGAAAAGGGAAGGCCGCTCGGGGCCTCGGGCCGAGACGGAGGCACGAGAGGCCGAAGAGCGGGGGTGGGGAGCGAGAGGAGCGCGAGGGGAGTGGTAGAGGGAGGGACGGGTGGGAGGGCTAGGGGAGGGGAGAGGGAATCGAATCGAATCGAGCTCTGGGGGCATTAAGTCAGATTGTCCACTCGTGAGAGGCCTGGGCCACTCCTGATACATTCGCATCAGTTTACAACTACAATCTGCTTGCTACTCAGCCCTGAGGACCCATCAGGGGACTTTGTAGTCCTGCCGTGCTGGCAGGAGGTCTGCTCTGGCGATCTGCGGCACTCTCGTTTGTGGAAGACTGAGAGGCCGCCTCGCACCTGCATGTCACAGGGTCAACCCCCTGTTAAAAAGTTTTTTTGTCCACCCTCGAACGCCCAGGGGCGAAAACCAGAAGACCGAGCCACCGAGGCCCGACACACAGAGGGAAAGCACCGAGGAAAAAACGCCGAGGGCCAGGAGCAAAGTTCGAGGGTGAACGAGGGCACAGAAGCTAGAAAAAAGTTCAAGAACTAGGCGGAGGGTGTTGGGCCTCAGGGTTGCTTGGAGCACTTCCCGTCCCCCTCCCTCCTTTCTTCGGTCGGGCTCGTGGTGGCTGAATCACCGTTGCTGTGTTCACTGCCTGTCTGATAGCTGCTTCAACTGGAACGTACCCTCTCTCCACCAATTCCAACAATCTCTCTGAAGCCGTCGCTATCTGTACTCTCTGGACGTGCGTCAATCTCACTTTGGGCCGTCCGATCTCTACTCCTTCTTGCCGCCCTTCCCCTTCTTGGAGGACCCTGCCTCGAGCTCCTCGAGCAGGCTCTGGGCGGCCCTCTCGAGTGGGCCGCGCGGGGGCGGGCCGTGTTTCTGGATCGCCTGGTGGGCAAGCAATATGCGGACGCACACACTCTGCAGCTCGTCGTAGCTCTGGTGCATCGCGAGGGATATTTTGGCCATCTCTGATTTGCCTTGCTTCTGCTTGGCCATCTTGCATTTGCAATATAGTACTTTGCCCAGCAGGTCGCCCGCCTTGCATTGTGCCCCCGCGATCTTCTCCATATAGAACTGGGTGAGGATCTCGGCGTCGCGCTTCTCGATGTCTTCGTACTCGCCCAGCCCGCGGAGCATGGCCGCGAAGATGTGGATGAAGGGCGGGCCGAGCTCCTCCTGCTTCACGGGGTCGTCCTTCAGCGACTTCGCGGTCTCGTGGTAGTCCCTGCCTTGCTGCATCATGGACTTGACCACTGGGGAGTCGGCGCTGATGAGGAGCGTGACCCAAAGCATCCCCGTGATTTCTCGAATTTCTGCGGCGTTGGTGAGCGCCAGCTTGGTAAGCACGATCAGTAATTTGCTCACGGTATTGACCTCCTTCGCGTCGCCGCCCAGCAGGTCCGAGAGGAGGCGGGTCTTCTTCTGGCCCTTGGCGTCGCCTCCTTCTCCTGCCCTCTTCAGGCCCCACGTGGGGTCGCCGAACTTGAGAGCCACGGCCCCGCTGAGCAGCTGTGTCCGCCAGACAGTCCAGAGGAGGCAGGTGTGTTCTGATGTGCTCCTGTAGCTCTTCAAACGTTTGAGCCCTATGATCACAGAGGTGGCAGTCCACTCTGTCTGGATGCATTCGTCCTCCGAAAAACCTCGACTGGTCATTGCATCGGCCTCCACGAGAGACTGTAGCGAGTAAATGTCTCTGGGCCGTCTTCACGCAGCTAAATGTGACCAGGCAATAGGGGCGCACATTTGTGCTGACCGCGCGTGTCCATATATCCCTCATACCGTGCTTGGCCATCCTGTGCTGTGTGACCCCCTTGTATGTAGTAAACGTGCATGTGCATACTGTCCCCGTCTCATTCCGATACCCACATGTCCATTGAGTAGTGTCTGCATAAATACTGGGGCGTGCGGGTTCAGGAGGTGGTCGTTGAGCAGGGGACCATCCAGGGGGCGGAATAGCGCTCATATAAATCCCTCTTCGTAACACCGTGAAATCCTACATCAAAAACTCATGTTTCATTTCGTCATCCGTGAATAAGTCCAGCCATGCCGTGCGAATTTGACTGCCCAAGAACCCTCCCTCATCATCGAGTCCTCCTACACCCTGCAGAATGTCGTCTCGCATCTGTTTCGCCCATGGGTTCGCATCGTCCCGCAGCTCGCTCTCCTCGATCGTCGGATCTATCTCGAAAGGGAAGTGACCGAAGAGGGAGGTGAGTATCTGGCCGTTTCTCCACTGGTGTCCGAGGATAGTCTGGATCCTCTTCAGGCGGCGCACCCGCATCTCAAGCTTAGCAGGAGCCATGTTCCAGTACTCCAGGACCTGAGATGTACTCTTCGAACGATGTTGTATCGTACCGTCATGGGTCTCAATCTGCTCATGTGCTTTGCCTTGCATAGCGCGACGAGCATATCGTGCAACAAGATGGTCGAGTTCTGTGTACTGCTTATCCGAGCACACGTAGGATTCATTTCCGTGGAGGGCGGTATTCTGTACACAACATATTAAAAACGTGCGTTTGATTATGTACGGGGTGTGTTTCAATGACCAAAAACTTCCGAGGGAATAATAGGCGGCCGCCACGGCCTTCTTGCGAAACTCAAACTCAACAGCATAACTACAATTGGCGCCCACACGGGCCCCTAAATATCTAGCATTAGTCTTAGGAGGGGCAGGGAGGTTGACTCGTCCAGTCCTCAGGGCTCGCGCCTCTGACCCCGCACCTACTCCAGAGAGAACAGGCAAGATTTCCTGCTTAGTCATATTCTGTTTGCACCCGATTTCGGCCAGGGCCCGATCCAGGAGAAAATTGGCTCTCTCGCTGACCGCAGCGAGCTCCTGCAATCCCTGGTGGGGTCCCGCCAGAAAAAACTTCAGTATATCATCAGCATACAGGCTTAAAGATGTGTCCACCGCCCTGTCTATGAAGGGGCGTCGTGCCACAAGTTCGTCCGTTCCCACCCCCCACGCCTCAAGCAGCCTCCCCCACTCCCTGATAGCCGTCTGAAAGGCTTCAACGAATTGGCGAACCACATAAGGGTCTCCCATGAAACCTCCACATCCTGGCTGGAAGAAACGGGAACCTTCGGCGCATGGGAGGGTGACTGATGCTTCCTCGAAACGCTGGCAGCCTAATCTCGCAAGACCGTCCTCCATCAGCTCAACTGCTGCGGCCCTCATGTCAGGCCAGTTGACACTTGCAAAGGCATTCGTGAGGTCATGCAACTGCACAAGTCCTGCGCGGCCAGCGCGTCGAGCGCGCCACATCATGATTAGGACATTCGCGATGGCATTCTCCTTGCATCTGTGGGGCAAAAAACCGTGCACCTGGGGGGGCATTTCGGGTGACTCCGAGCGGGTGGAATACCAGCCCTTGCCAAGAGGAGAAAGGAGGTGAATAGTTCGGAGCCCCGACGCCGTCTCCCCAAACACAGTGCCATCAGATTTCTTGGCCCACGACACCCCCATGCTGGCGTGCCAGTATACAGGGGTCCTCAAGCCTGTACGAATTCTCAAACAGAAATCCTCTAAATGCTTCCTGAAAAGAGGCGCTTCTAATTCTGGTTCTGAGGCACCTAGCCCTCTGCTACGATAAGAAGCCACCGTGGGAGGGACCAACAAAATCGCTAAAAGTTCAACTGGCG